CACAGTGGTCGGTCAATAATAGTTTGGGATTGTATTTCAAAAATATTGTTGGTCCGTTAGTACGCATTATGCGTAAGGAACAGTATCTGTTCATATTTCAACAAAATTTACAAGATGTAGTCGAAAAATGAGAGTTTCTGCTGAAAAATCACCCAAAACATACTGCATATGTTCGCAAAGACTGGATGCAGAAGCAAAAATTTTGAAATGACCTTCACAATCCGCGGATATGAATCTCGTCGAAAATTTGCGAAATCAACTAAAAGCGCAGCTTACTAAGTATCCAAGTACGTCGAATGGAGTACATGAGCTATGAAAGCAAACCAAGGATATATGGGAGGCTGTACCACCAGAATTTTTACAGAGATACAAATAACGTATGCCAAATTGCATCCAGGAACTAAAAAAAGCAAAAGAATACTGAACATTGTGTTAACAATTCTTTTTTTTTCGTGAAAATTGTCAAAAAGTTATTAAAAATATGTAAGTGCAAAACTGTAACATATGCCTTAATTTACATTTTTGTCAGCTGGTTTTATTATTGTTGTTGGATTGACTTCAATTCGTTATGAGAGAGGAAGTACAGGTGTACCAATAAGAATATACAACAGAAGTATGAATGTTGTAGAACTTGGAAAGATAGCGGCGGCTGATATAAAAAGCGTTACAACATGTTACAGTTTTGCTCGTCACTGTATTTACATACACGCTTGTAAGTATGCTTTAGCGACCTGTTTGCTTAGTAAACTACATATATATTTATTTATTTACCTACACTTGTGACAAGCAGTTACTAGCATGCATATAGGTACAGTGGCGGGTAGCTAATTAGAGATGTAGTGCGTGAAAAAATATTTGTATGGATGTGAAAAGTGGTTTAATGGAAGTGCTTTTATTAAAATACTACGCAGGAGAAATAATTGTTGTCATATTTACAAAAAAAGTCATAAAATGAATTACCAAAGTCATAAAATAAATAAAAAATATAAAATGAAATAAAAAAAATATATGGACAAATAAAAAAAATTTTGTTTAAGTAGTTTATAAGTTTATTTTGGCGAAGAAAAGTAAAAACAGTAAAAACGAGATAAAAAATTAAAAATTAAAATATTATAAAATGTAAACAACAAATATAATAAAAATTATTATTATTAATATAATAAAAATTCTCAATCCTCAAGCTTTATAGTTTTGTGCATTAGAGGGTTAAGAATGTCAACAAGAAAATTTTTGAGTGCAGTGTTAGAATTTTAGGCTTTGACAGTTCCACACAAACTACTGTCCCCATGCCAGCGTCCGCCACTGTATATAATTATTTATGTAAGCGATGGCATCTGAATGCGTATATTGTGTGTATGTATGTATGTATGTATGTATGTATGTATGTATGTATATTGAAAATAAGGCGCCTGGGCTGGCTGACAACTTCTGTACACATCCCTGAACTTGACCACCAAAAAGCTGGAGGACGTTCGAAAATAAGCGTAAAATCAAATGAGAAGCGTTAAAAATGTTGACCGCGAATTAACGGCGTAAAAATTTAATTGTCAAGCGAATGAGTTGAAAAGAAAATGTAAAGTGAACCTAAAAAACGGAAATTCTCTGCATTTATTTGGCTAATTTTTATTTTTTATTTTATTTTTTATTTTTTTTTGGTTTGGGGAAAAGCGCTAAAGGCAATGAGAATTTCGCGCAATAAGCAAGTTGCAAAAATATCATTGGTTAAGCAGATATTTTAGAGGTAGCATAGTAAGCTAAATAAAAGCAAGTAAATAAGCAAGCTGAAGAGATCAGAGAAGGCGTATTGTTGTTGAAAAACGAAAATTATGGAAAACTTTTTAACGCATTTTGGTCGACTTTTTTTTAAATTCATTTAACTTTTAAGCTTCAAACCCATTTTTGAGTGGTCGAGTGTGCGAAAAATATCTACTATGTATGAAATTCGCAAATATTTGCATAGCGAAATAAGCGTGTCTTTCTTAGCAGATTGGCGTTCGACATCTACTCATGAAAAAAGAAATCTATAAAGTAAACCTCAAATTGTTTATTTGCATACCAACTTTGTAATATAAATATGTATGTACGTATTAGATAAATGCACATAAATAAATTGCCGTCCAGCTGCGGACACTTGACTTTTTCAACTATATGCATAGCTCGAATATAGAAAATCGCATATTTTAGCCAAATTTAAAATAACTTAGCTGGCGCGAAGTGTCGGATGCTTACACAGCCACCGATTGTCAGCCAATGGCAGTAGAAGTTGGTTGTTAGTGCTTCTTATTTTCTTAAGACAGCAAAACAAAATTCAAACAAAAAAAAAAAAAAACATCCAAACGCTTAAAAAAATTTTTCAAGTACGCGCGTGCATTAAAATATAAATACCATACCACAGTTGATAGTAAATAAAAATAAAAGAATTAAATATACATACAGACACCCACAGAAGTATTCGTAATTTGTACAAAATTCATAAAAATGAATCAAACTTAACAAAATTTCCATCAAAATTTCAAACTTTTTATTCATAGAATTTGTTCATGCCTTATATGGAAACAAATGCGCAACACCTTCGACAAAAAAAAATTCTAAAAAATCAGCGGCAATTTTTAGCTACTTCAAACTGCATACCGAAATTTCTTCTAAAAATTCTGAATAAAAAGTTTGAAATTTTGATGCACATTTTTTTAAGTTAGATTAATTTTTATGAATTTTGTACAAAGATTGCAAGAACGATTTAAATGGTTTTTGTTATAGAATTAGCTATATTTTAAATGAAATATAACGAAAAAGATTTATGATGGAAAGCATTTTGAATATTGTGAAAAACCTAATTTACGAATACTTCTGGAGTGACTGTACATACATAATATTGCAATAAAATATGAGGCATTTTCATATGAATATATACAATCTTTCGCACAATCGGCTTAACATATTTCTGCACAGCACAGCATTCTTTGCGCTGGCGGGCATCGCACGAGGTGGGGAGGGGGGGGGGGGGGGAAGTGTCAGTAGCCAGAGTTGGGGCAACAGTCATGGTGACAAAGTTGCTACAAAATATTATAAAAATTATTTTTTTCTTTTTTTTTTACTCAACCTCAAGAGACAGGCAGCATTGCCGATTGCTGCAAGTTGGTGAGCGCCGACTGAGCGTTGCATTGATATTACAACAGAAATAAATACTTACATACAGGCAAAAGTTTGAAAAGTTCTTGACTTTAGCATTGTCGTTTTAAAGATAAATTTTCACTCAACGCGTTGTTGGCGGCTTTACTCGCTTGAAAGCAAGGCTGATGTTGTCTGGTTTTTTTTTTTTAAATAGTGCTTATCTAGCATTTTGCGTTGCATTTTTAAATAGCAAAACTTGCAACAGACGTCTGTTCAAATTTGCTTCCTATTATATTGTTGTTGGTTCATTTTTTTTAGTGTTATGAAGTCTACGGTATAGTTTTTCAAAAATGGCAAAAATTTTTCTTAAGAATAAAAAGTGAAACTTTGAAGAATTTTCATAATAGCAATAATAGATATTAAATAAACAAAAGAACGAAAAATTGCACAGACTTGCTAAAATTTCGCGTCGCAATTTATATTATGTACATGCATTTATTTAAAAAAACTAACGATTAATTCGAAAATTTTCAAATCAATAAAAAAAAATAAAAAACAAATTTTAAGTAAAAAGATCAAGACTTCGTTTTATGAAGGATTATTTTTTTCGTATTTTTTTTTTAAGGAATTCGCAAAAAAATTAAAAAAACAATTTTTTAAGAGAAAAAGTCAAGACTTCGTTTTATTAAAGCTCACTTTTTATTTTTTCTTATTTGTTTTGAGAAATTCGCAAAAAATTTTGAGCAAAAAATGATAAAAAATAAAAGAATAATATTTTTAAATATATTGGCCCGTAGTTAAAGTCAAAATTAAGTCGACTCTAAAGTTTATTACAGCTTTTGGAATACAATATCTGTCAAAAAAAGCTGCAACTAACTTTATAAACGACTTTATTTTGACTATGACTACGAACCATTTTATCTTTATTTTTTTTTTGTACATTCTGCGTTGATTTTAATTTGCCACACTTGTTTTGTTATACTTTTGCTATTTTTGAAAACTACAAAAAAATTACAAGGTTTTCTGAGTTAAAAAAATATTTAGGAAAGTTAGGTTTAAATTTTAGTTAAATTTTTTAAATTTCTTTATGTTTACTTTTGTGCAAATTTGTATTTAAAAAATTTCGGTACATAAATAAATTTTGACAAAATGAAATAAAAATGAAAACACAAAAAAAAAAATTAAATCCTATGTATTAAAAACAAACTTTTAGTTCTTTTGAAAAGTACATAAAAATTGCAAAAAATTGTTCTGAGCTGAAAAAATAAATATTTTTTATTAAGAGAAAAATATTTAGAAAAAGTAAAGTTTAAACTATATTTGATTTTTTAAATTTTTTGATTAAAATTAATTTTTTTTGCAACTTATTTAATTTTTGTGAAAAATTGTATTAAAAAATTTCTATAGATAAATTTTGACTACATGGAATAAAACTGAAAGAAACTAAAACAAACAAAAATCAGAAAAATTTTAATATTATATATTTGTGAAAACAAAATTAACTTGATTTACAATCATTTTATCAACCAATTCTTTTTGTTTAACATTTCAGAATTGATTTTTCATTTTTAAAAGTAAAATTTTGTAATAATTTCTTTAAAAAGCTTATCCAACACACATTTTTGCGTTTAAAACTTTAGCCGATTTATTAAAAAAAATTCGAAATTAGTAAAACAAAAATTAAAATTTCATGTTCCAAAATCAAAAATCGTGTACACACCAAAAAACACACACCACATGAATTACACTTTTTCACTTAAGTACTTAAGCTCACCAACTCTTTCATAATTTCCTGCTACAACTTTCATTTCTGTCGCATAACTTTTCTTTTACAGAATATCATTCATAAATCAGAAAAAAAAAACAGATATTAATTTCATTCAACTTACATTTTGGTGAACGCGCTCGCTTATTACTTTTGCGTTCATTAAAGAACGAACTTAGAATGCCGGCAGGATTCATTGAACGATTGGCTTGCAAACTTTTGGTACGCTGCTTTTCAGCGGCGCGCGACAACGACGAACCGCACGCTGTTGTGTAAGGTCCTGTCGTCGTTGTTGTCGCCATTGCCGAATGTATATTCGCAGTCAATTGTTGTTGCTGTTCGGTATCATCGGTATTGGCTGCGCTATACCGGCGTGATGAAAACATATTGGCAAGATCTTTCATTTTGGCGCTTAACTTTTTACTTTGATTTATTTCTCAAAAGAACGTACGAAGTATACGGATAAAACAAAGCATTAAAACGAATTGAGAATTCGATTAGTTTTCTTTGCTTTTTAAGTAGTTAATTTAATGAAAAAATTAAAACACACAAATCTTTGCGTTTTTGAGCGCTTAGCTTGAGTTTAGTTTAAATTTGATTTGTTTGTTTTTGTATACTAAACGCTTTAGCTTAAAAGTTCATGCGCACTTATAACAGTTTTTTTTTCACACTTTGTTCTTAGAATATTAAAAAAAAAAAAATCTCAAACTATCAAATTCGTATAAATTTCGCTCTTTATTTGATTATTTTTTCTTCATCTAACTACTATCCTTGCTACATATTCTCAGTCAACATTTATTATGTTTTGCTTTCAAAACTTTAACTTGAACTCAACGTTTACGAAATGTTCTTTTTAACGTTACGGAGAGCTTTTCGTCTACTCGCTTGCGCTGCTCACTTTTGAATGAAGTCTGACTTGTGCGCGACACAGCAGGTAAATATCAGTTTTGCTAGCCGCTAGCCGCTAGCCGCTGCCACCTTCGCCGGACTGACTGTTTGGAAGCTGTAACCGCTGCTGCTAGCGTCGACGCTTGCAATTTATTTCTGATCAGAATACCTGAGTTGCTGTCGTCGTCGTCGTCGCCGTTGTTATTTAAGCCGAGTCATCATCAGCAACGCGTAACGTCGCTGAGACCGGTAATCAGGTAATTCCGAGTCCGCATTCGAGTTTGTGCGGTGTGGAGCGGAGCGGTGCGGCGCTGCGCTGCCACTGCCTAAATCAGCTTGACCATATTGGAATCTTTAAACAGATTTAGTGCTGTTGAATGAGCAGTCAATTAATTGAAGCGTTGATAAAATATACTAGATAAGGCACAAGTCAGAATGAATTAAAAGTCGAGAACAGTAGTCCTTTAACACGCAGCGGGTAGTCAGTCAGCAGAGTAGGATGGTTCGCTGGCTGTTAAGAATATTGCTGATTGTTGTAGGTATGTAAGTTAACAGCAGTGGGCTTACAGGTACTTCATTTACAAATCTTTTGATTGCGGTAAGCCTGCTGTTAAGGCAAGCCACTGTTACGTGTACATATGTATGTACATACTAAATTGGGATTTTGCTCGTCAAGCCCATTAAGCAATGTTATTGCAATTGAAAGCGAACATTCTCCGGCTAAGCTAATTAGCAGCAGTGTATGTTAATGATATGCTCTGTTAGCAGCTGCTGTTAATCACAACAGCATGTCATTTATTTTGATACAATTCTGTTGTAATCTTTTACAGCAAACTGTTACGTACATAACAGCTTTTCGTTTTGGTTGTTTTGTTGTGTCATTGACCACCGCTGCGCAAAGTAAACAAACAATTTTTCGCTAATAAAAAAGTATTTATCTCGTTTTACGTGTCTCACAGAGTGAGAGCAGTCGAAGTTTTGGTAATTATTTATTTATGAAAAATTCCATAATTATCTACTAATTAAGACATTTCTATAGAATTTACGTGAATCCCTATGTAGAACATAAGGAAGTGACATAGTATGTACTTACATATATACATATGTACGCAATAGCGCGGAAGTGATATTGCGAAAAGTTATCCTTTTTTATGGCGAAAAATAGCAAAAGTGTAAACAAATTTATATGTAGGTACAAATGTATCTAAGTGTGTGTTGGCGTACGTTCTGCCGCAATGATGTCGTTAAATTTTGGTAACTGCACAACAATGATATGCGAAATTTTGAAAGTGAGCAGTGATTGTTAGATATGTGTGTATGTACATAATGCACATTATAAAAAAAAAGTACAAACAAGTAAGGAAAGTGCTCTGTTAAAAAAAAAAAAAAATTAACTGTTTTTAATCCGTTTTTTAGGAACTATACATTTTACAAAATTTTTCTTGATGGTTTCCGCTGTGAACTTTTTGTTTACACTAGACCAACAAGGTACAAAATTTCAGTCTTTTTTCCCCTTAAATGGAGGAGTTACATCACATAAACTCGTACATACATATATATGTACGTATATATGCTATAGATCACCTATCTTGTGATTGGGCGATACTTTTTTCGAACAATACTTCTTGCGCCACGTTGTACACAAATTTTGAAGCTTAGGAAAAAAACTGGTAGAAAAAAAATTGGTAATATGAAAAATTCCAAGCAATGATTTTTTTTAACTTTTTTCGTTTGATAATTTTTATTTTTTTTTTTACTCTATTTTATTTTTATTTTTATTTTAATTTTTTTTTTTTTAAATAGCGAGGTAGAACCGCTGAGAGATACTTTTAGCATTTTTGACGTTTTCAAGCATTAAGATTTTAAAATATACTCACAAACTCACACACACATTCTCATTTTCAATCTCAAACAATAACAATTTTGAAAAACTCCATTTTCTCATTTTCAGTTTTATATGATTTTAAAATGCCGGGAAACGTCAAAAAAAAATCATGGCCGAGAACGGTTCTACCCAAGATATATTAAAAAAGGTGTAACTGACAACTCAGGTCGGTTCCCTTTTAAGGTACTATTATGCCAAAAAAATATAAACAAACCATTCAAAACTCATACAAAAATTTTTCAATCACACTTTGTTAAATGCATTTTGGTTCTACTGTACTATGTTTCCAGCATGGTATGTACTATATTATTTTTTATTTATTTGTGCTGTTCTTTTTATTTTAATTTTAATTTTAATTTTATTTATTTATTTATTTTTCGTTGTATTTCGTTTTACTCACTCCCTTCACTTCAATCTATTTTATTTCATGCAATTTTTTGTTTTATTTTATTTGTGAGTTTTAATTTACTTTTATTTCATTTTAACTCGTTTCTGGTTCTTTTCTGTGCGTCATCGGATTAAAGTACATTTCTCACCTTAATTAAGATTTTGAACATTGCACATAGTTGAAATCAGTGTGGCCAGATATTTTTTCAAAAAACTGCAAATTTTCGAAAAATACTGTAACCCACCAAAAAAAAAAGGGAGCTTTTACAAACTTAAGGGTTTTTTTTAATTTTATTAAACATAAATAACAAATAACTATTAATGGAAAAATTAAATAACTCAAACAGTTTAAATTTTACAAAAAGCCTTTATAGACTGAAACATTTAAGTCACGTTTCTGTTTAATTATTTCTCACAAATTCCTAAAATTTGGTACAACCTGAGAATTTTTTTTTTTTTAGAAAACTTTAGTTCTTGAAATATGAGAGAGTGCTGGTATTACTAGTTTACTTTTTATTTTATTCAAATTGTTTCATAGAAAATATTTTCTCCTCATTAGCTGCGGCAACTTGAATGCAAAGAAAAGCCTAAACCATTTGTTTTAAAAGAAGAATCGCTGCTCCTTCAACGCTGCTCTTCATATTAAATATTGACTTCCAAAATCCATAATAGAAGTTTTAGTTTATTAATTTAAATTGGAAATATCGAAACAATTCTCTAATTTGTACTAAATAGAAGGTGTTTTAAAAAACTGTAGTGTGTCGAAAAAAACGTAATTTACAGTTAAGATTGTGCATCTGGCAACATTGATTGAAACACAAATCTTATACGAGCATATTTGCATTCTATAAAAGCGCATACTAATTATAGTGTGTAGAACCGTCATAAAATAGCCTTTCGAATTCAATCTAGTATTCCCACTAAAAAATCATAAATTTAATTTTTGTCATATTGTTATTGTCATCGATTAGCTGTTGTTTATAAGTATGCATGTTTTTTTTTATTTTAGCTGACTTGATGGTAAGTATGTAGGTATGTATTTTCAGTTAACCGTATGCAAATCGGCATATTTGACTAACATAGAAGCAACCTTGATTGAAAAGAAATTGACCTCACTCAAGAGGGGAAAACCTGTATTTCGGAAATAAACAAAAAGAAAACAAAAAAAATTCTTCGGCGATGCAAACAAATTTGGTTTTTTCTTTTAACCCTAATATAAACAACTGCATGCCCTATTTGCGAGAGTTCATCTATAGTTTAGATAATATTTTTAAGATGGGTTATGGCTTTTTCTATGGGCAGGTATATTCATGATTCGCTATTCTCTGGTGCCAATATATGTATAAGTACATATTTAGAATTCCTCGAAACTCCCCGGCCAAAGACAGGCAAAGCTATTTAACTGAATGATTCAAAATATTATAGGGATCTTCGATTTGCGCTATGAGATACTGTCACACGGAGCACAGAATTGACCTAAAGGTAACGCTAGTTTCTCGTTAACCCTACTGGACACTTAAAGGCTAGGCAATCCCATTGATAAAATTATCACTGAGGAACAGGTAAAATGGGTTGTTAGATTCATACCAAGGCATACTGTAAAGAACGATAGCGCGAATTTCGATAAATATTTTTTAGAAAATGTTAAAGTAATGAAAAAAGATTTCTCACCTAAAGCTGAACGAATGGGGTGGAATTCTACTCTCAAGTCAGCGTCTATATCAGCACTGCAGTAATGGCCAGCGAAAGCTTTTATTTGTTGCTAGCCATATCTAAATTGAGAGCTTTTTGGGTGCTTTCAGCTGCATTCACAAATTAGACATATCGCTATCAATATTTATCGATAATTAACGATACATATATGCATCGATCTCGGTTTCAATAAACATTTTCTTTATTCTGAAATGTCGTTAAATATATCATTGCTCTATCGATATCGATATCAATACATATGCATCGATCTCGAATTTAATATACATTTTAATAATTTTGAAATTTCGTCATATGAATGACTAATTTATCGATATGCATGCTTATCGATATGTGTATCAGACTTTTTATCGATTTCAATTTCAATAAAAAACATTTGCGGGCGAGACGTGAAAAATATACTTTCCTAATACTCCCGATAACACCCGATAGTGATAGATCTTGGGATCCACAGCCTCAGCGGCAAAAAACCGCAAGGGTTTGGAACTTAAAAATTGATTGCCATTATATCCCGCGCCCATCTCTAATATGATTGGTATGTATGTGACTTGCATGTGTAAAAAGAAATCTTTAGAGTGCAGCTTCAAAAGCATAGAGTACTGGCAAACTATTCAAAGTTTCGCCGACAAATCCATAATAAAAGAAAAAGTGTTTCTAGGTAAATTAAAATCACCGTTAAACTTATATACATACATAGTGTGTATAAATGCACGCATTGTGCTAGGGGAAACGGTTCGGAAAATAAATTGCACCTACTTGTTAATCAAAAAGCAAACAATACTTACACAAACACACATACATATGTACATACATACATATGTATGACGAGTTTAATGTCATAAGAAGTACAACTTTTGGGTTAAAGGCCATTTAAAAGAAAATTTAAATTGTCATATGCAACTTCTAAGTAAATCAATTTATGATGTTTTTGAGGAGGGTTGCCACATGTTTGAAAAATTAATAATATAATTAAAAATTTCAATTTATAAATAAAATGTTACGATACGGGCACTCAAATAAAGAGGTTTATGAAACTTTACTACCGGAAATATTTTTGTAGTTGCCAGCTATTGGAAAAATTTTATTCAGTTAAAGTGGTAAACTAAGGTATGTAATTACTGACTTAATACACCTTTGAAGA